TATGGGGCAGGGATTGGGGAGTGTATGCGTGTGTGGGGTGGGCTATGTCAGGGCTTTCTCTATTTTTTCAGAAAATAAATTTATGCTTCTATTGCCTCTGGTTCTACAGGCAGTGCTGTCAGCAGATAACCAGCGTTCTTCCTTTCACATCACTTTCACATTGGCAGGTTAGGTTACATGATGAAGAACATCAAAACCTTATATGTTGTTGTCAGCATCTGTAGCCTAAAGACTGACTGTCCCCTCCTTCTCTTGCTTTAAAATCCTTCTGCTACAGTGGTTTTGAGTCTCAGGAGAAAAATTCCCTAGCATTTATTTTGGCGTGAAACTTCTAAGGCAAATGTTTTGGCCTGGTTGCCCTCCTGATAAAAAAATCTATGTCCCATTTTGTAAACTGCAGAAATACACATTGAGGGCTGCTTTGGTTTGGGGTATGTTAGAAAATAAGCCTTAGTGTCTTCTGATCAGTCAAGCATGAAACCTCTTTTTGCACAAATGTAAATTTCCTGGTCTGACGTATGATGATAATACTACAAGATAGAGCTAGCAGGTTGGTGTGAGAAAACTGGAAGGGCTTGGCAACCTTTTAGAGAGTCCAACCCACCTGCTGCCACCTCTGCTACACACTGCTACCTCCACTATAGGCCACTCATTCCCATCCTTGGTGGCAGTTGGGGGGTCAAATTTGGCAGGGATGGTAAACAGCACCTGCTATAGAGGAAAAAGAGCAGCAGGGAGGGCTGTTGCAGGGGAAAGGTGAGAGAAGAACAGATCAGTGGCACAATGCAGGGCAGAGAAGGGGACAAACCAGACTGTGGTTCATGCTGCCAGTCCCCCGCACCACAAAGGGCTGGATCCAATCATTTTGTGGGCTGGATCTGGCCTATAAGCCATAGGTCGCTGACCTCTGACTTAGGCCTGTGGCACATTGAACAGAATAAGGATGAACTACCATGAATATACCCTGCTTCCAATCCAGATACCACCCCCAGGCCAAAATAAATATAACTTAGCTGTTTTTTCAGCTGTGTCCAAAGCACACCCAGGACTACTCTCAGGCTCTGCAGTATTTATGATGTATAGGCTTCAAAGCATTTTTTTTAATCATGCCACATACATGGAGCAGGAGCGAATGGGCAGGGTATGTTTCCCCCAGGGCATTCCATGGCATTGTCCAACACAGCACGGACATGTTCTTACAAGCTGAAATCCCACTGGCCTAAAGCCAGGGCCTGAAAGTTAATAGGATTTGACCTCCTATGTCTATGAGAGCCAAACTTTTTGGCAGGCATGCCACAAATTAAGCAATGCACCCTCCCTGAGTCCTACTCCAGTCCCCTTCCCCTGCCTAATCTACTGCTCTGCTTTTTACTGTCAGCCCTGTATTCCCTGCCTGATCTGCTGCTCTTCTCTCTGCTCTCTGCCCTATCTGCCATTGGGCTGCCTATCCCCTCCTCAGTCTGCCGCTTGTCATATGCAAAAGCTGCCTGTGTCACTTGTGCTACACATGTTGCAAGTTGGTCACCTGTGTCCTAAGTCATTCAAACACTGCAGAAAATTGAACCCTACATGTCTGGGGCCTAAGGTGTATTCCCTAACAAGAGGAATTATACAGTCCAACTAAGCCAATACACACAGTGCAGAAAGATGAAATGCTCTGTCCACCATCTTGATGCACCTGCTTCATTATTACAGGTAAAAGTGATGATGAAGACAGCTTATGCAAAATGGGACAAACCCCTGGGAAAGGAGAGGACAGTAAGGATCACAAGAGGCCCAAGAGACCCCGGACCATCTTGACAACGCAGCAGCGGAGGGCGTTCAAAGCATCTTTTGAGGTTTCCTCCAAGCCATGTAGAAAGGTGCTGTGAAAAAACCACTGCTCAGCATATTGTAGAAGTTGGGCCAGATTCTCCAGCAAATGTAAATCGTTGAAGATGCTGGAGCTGTGCTGATTGACATCAGCTGAGGACATGGCCTGCTGTGGCTCTTTCGTGTCGGTGGTGTGCGTGTGTAGCATGTGCCTGCATAGTCGTATGCACACAGGGAACCCAGTTCTAAAAAGCAGCTACCGTAATTGGGTATGTGCAGATTTCAGATATGTCAGAGATGATCAAGACGGGTTGCAGCCATACATACCCATGCCTATTTTTGCACACAGCTATGAGATTTGCATAATCAAATTGCAAATGGATATTGTCATAATATTGTACGGTTAGTTTTCTTTGATCCTGAGCTGGTGTGAATAACCATGGTTCCACTGAAGTTGTTGGAGCTACCTTGATTTTTTTCCAATAAATCATTTAGACCCTTGGCTGAGGGAAGCTGCCTGGTGTTTGGACTGAGCTGAAGGGAGTCTGTCTTGTGTCTACTATGTTTCTATGGGGAAAAGTTGCAGAAAGCAGGGGCTGGATCCTTTTCTTTTTGGCACCCTGGAAACAGAAGTGGTGTTGCAGTTGAAGGAGTTAGTTTAGGTATTAGATGTCAGGTTGTAAAGTTCTGTCATTGAAAACTTTTGTGGGACAGTTGGGGAAATGGAAGGTAGCAAGGCAGAAAGCATTTTATATGGGAAGAACTGCCACCTCCAAAAGGAAACTTAGAAAAATAAATTGAGCTGCTTAGAAGAATGAGAACATCTACTTTGTTGTTTCTCCAAGGTCAGAGAAACTTTGGCAGCAGAGACTGGGCTGAGTGTGAGAGTCGTGCAGGTCTGGTTCCAGAATCAAAGAGCAAAGGTAAGCAACAGCAACTACATGCCGTACCAGAGCCCAGGGATCCTGGCTTTTCATTAGTGTTCCAGACAAAGGAATGTGAATCCCCAGAGTTTTGCTCTGGCCTGTTACAAACCTAAAATATCACTAGGAATGTGTGCATGCCAGTTGGGAGTTGCATTATCACTGTACTGCTCCAGAGAGCTCCCAGTGCAAGTACTGGGCAGGACAAAAATTCATAAAGCATTTTTGAAGATGAAAATCACCATGTCAGTCATAGGTAAGGTTGTCCTAGTTAGGAACCTGTTCTTCCCTTCACAAACATTAGCTAACTTACCCTCACCACCTCCCTGTGAAGTGGGAAAGGAACAATGTTACCCCATTGTAAAGAGGCTCATGGTTGAAGGAAAAGGCCCTCTTCTATGGGGCAGCAGGATAAAGGTGCAGCCAATCACCGTGTGCCTGACAGGCCAATGCATCCAAGCTGGTTTCAAACCTTTGCATTCCTTTCCTTCCTGAACAGATGAAGAAACTTGCAAGGAGACAACAGCAGCAACAGCAAGATCAACAAAACACACAGCGGCTGAGTTCAGGTACTGCCTGAAACACCCTTGGACTCCCCCTGTCTGCTACCAGAGACCCCTCTTACCCTGCTGGAGACCACAGAGCCACTGCATGGAGCCTCCCTTCCAACCACTTCAACTCAGCAACAATAATTCTCCTAATCTGCACAGCACTCAGATCTACTACCTGTCTCCCTCTCATCAACCCATCTGCATGAGGCCACCAACTCTCTTAGCTGCAGTCTCCTACCCTGGTTTACCAGAAGCCCCAGTTCCACTCCAGAGTTTGACCCCTTCCCAGTGTCTTTGCCTCAGTTGCCTGCCCCCTCTCCCCTCCCCACGCCCACACACATACACAGAGATTCTGCTATATATTGCCTCCAGGTTCTTTAGCCCTGTAAACTGGGGGGAAATCTCCTGATGCATGGGTTGGACATCATGCATCAGGATATGAGGCACTGGGAAGGGGAGATTTGGAGAGGATAGGCATGCAAACCTTTGTAATAACCCAGGTAAGTTAGAAGTGAGAGGTCTTGTAGCCACACACACGTAGCCTTATTCTCTGTTGTCTTCCAGCTCAGACAAACAGCGGCGGGAGTGCTAACCTCGAAGGGATCATGAACCCATACACCACTTTGCCCCCACCACAACAGATGCTGAGTATTGAGCAGAGTGTCTACAACTCGGATCCCTTTCGGCAAGGGCTAACCCCACCTCAGATGCCAGGAGATCACATGCATCCCTATGGTAAGACTGTGGGTACTTGCATAGGGGAGATTTGGGCCCTTGGTCTATTCCCAGTACCAGATGCTGGAACACAGTGGAGATTCACCAGTTTATATTAGCTGAGCACTATGTGATCATGTGTGTGTATATGCATACATGTGATACTTGTGTTCTGTACTGGATACCATCTCAATTTGCTGAATCCTAAAGTATGCCCCCTTCTAGAAATTCTGGCTCATAAAGGCCCATATCCTTACATTAACTGAGGTAGAGATCATTCTTGCTTAGCTCAAAAAGGTCCCTATGTTGGTGTTCTGTTCCTGCTCCTGAAGGTCTGTGCAGCCACTGATTCTCTTCCCTATGCATTGAGTTTCTTGCCCAACAGAGCAGTGTAAGCACCTAGCTGAACATGGATCAGATAGGCCAGCATGAGAACTGATTCAAAATTACTTCTTAATTTAGCTCAATGCAACTTTATATTCTTTTGACCCTCTGACTTGAAGACTAAGGAGCACCGTTGTGTTGGTTAGCATATCATAAATCCTAAGCTGGCTTAGGCAGTCCTAAAATGGACAATGGATTATGTGATAAGCAACATGGGCGGTTTCTGCAGCTGAGTATGTATTGCAACGTGATTCTCTCGGACCCGGGTCTACCAGAGAGAGGGGGGTGGCTCAGAAACCAGTGACATTATGTTCCATTCTCGTGCTGACTGGGCTGCTCTAGTTTGTGTTTATAAAGCCATCTCACTAGCCATAGAAAACCTTGTGTCTGTCCTTGGGTGGTCTCTCAGCTCCACCTGCATAGTAGATCATCCTTTGGGGAAATGACATCATTTTCATAGGCCTTGGTTCCTCTCCTGGTAAAGCAAAGATAACTTTAGCCACCTCAAAGGGTATGATAAGGACCAGGATAGGGGAGTATGAGGACTGACCAAGTGGCAGCTGAGGGTCCTTGACTTATGCCTAACTGTCCACCATCAGCTCCGGTGGCCCCTGGTCAGTGGCTTGTCAAAAAATATATCTTTCATTCCCCTGAAAGAGGGTGGAGAAAGAGTTCAACACCTCTTTGAAGCACATAGTGCTTCTTATAGCTCCGGCTGGTGCAGTGCGGTTTGACAATACCCCCTGCACTGGCCAGTGTGTCTGTAAAAAAAGCCCTGAAAGTAGACAGTGTAAGTGCAAAATATGTTTCTGATGTTTCCAATGCCTGACCCCATGTTGGTGATAACTCTTTTGCATCGTTCCTTTATTGCCATTTAAGGTGCTGAGCCCCTTTTCCATGACCTGGATAGCGAGGATACCTCACTTAGCAATCTGGGAGACTGTTTCCTAGCAACATCAGAAGCTGGACCCCTGCAGTCAAGAGTGGGAAACCCTATTGATCATCTGTACTCAATGCAGAACTCCTATTTCACTTCTTGAGCTTTGTCTGTGTCCACTGGGCAGGCAGCCGCCATGCTCATTACACTGTAGATTAAATTCACTTGAGGTATGATGGGCAACGAGGTTGTTTTGCTGGAATGCTGTCAAACAATATTTGTAGCTCAGTATTTCCAAAGACTGAATAAGTTATGGATCATATAATTTAGGGTTTCTGTTAGAATCATAGTATTAGATTCAAAATGTTTAATGCAGCTGGTCCACCTTTTTCAAACTCCAAAATTTTAACAACATTTTCAATTTCAATAGAAGCAGGAAAAAACTCATTCCTACAATATCTTCACAATTCTTCCCTCCTTTTTTTGACCAAATGTAGCAAAAAGAAAAGAAATCAGATTTTAAAAGTTCAGTACATTTTTGAAAGTGAAATTCTGACAACATTTTGGTGAGTTATAGGAAACATTTTCAAAGACATGTTCACCATACTTTTCTTCACAACCAGCTCTAGCATTTATTGTTAACAACAGGGACTTTTAATATAGATGTTCTCATGCACATATAGAGAGCTAGAAACTCCTAATGTCTCCCCATCTTACTGAGAGACTCCTGTTGAGAGGTAGGGGGTGTGTGTGCATGTACGTGTGTGAGTGTGCATGGGAGCATGCATGCACGTGTGAGTGTGTAGAGGTGAGTGTGTGTGCACAAGTATATACTGCACAGCCCACCTGCCATATTGTATCAACAAAATTTATTCCTAATTCTATCAAAAATTTACTGTACAGCAAAAGTAACTTTATTTTCAGTGTGAACCATATTTAAGGAAATGCTTGATGCACTTAAGTTATAAGATGAAATAATTTACTTTTATAAACTTTATGTTTAGTTTGCAACAGCCCAGTGGCAGGGAAGGAATATGGATTCATTTGTGTCAATAGGTTTTTGGTGCTTTCAATTCCCTTGGGTGTTCTGACAGGGCAGTTATAGTCCAAAGAGTGTCGGTGTAAAAATACAGATTTTTACTCATTGTGGCCTGATCCTGTTCCCATGGAAGCCAATGGCAAGCCTCCCATTGACTGGAAGTGTATAGGATTGAGGCTTGTATCTGGTCTTGTGAGTATCTACAGCACTTCTGAGAGCACTGCCAAGAGCGTGTCCCACTCATTTACTCTTGCTTTATGTAAGCCAAATTCTCTAAGTAAGGCAGTGTAGCCATTTTGGAGCTCCTAGGCTCTCTGTCTCAAGCATGCTGATGGACATACTTTGCAGTCTGCTCCAAGGCAGCTAAGTAACCTCATTTCCAAGTTTTAGCACAAACTGAATGGGAGTAAGTGGGCTGGGCATGTTTCATGGGAGTCCTCCTAGGCATAAATGGCAGGCCATATAGTGGTGGGGGCAAAACGGCAGATCCAGCCAGCAGCCGGACTCCATTTCCCAGCAGCCCCTGCCTGTGTGGCTGCACTGTGATAGCATGAAGTTGGGGTTTCTGTGGAGACCAGCTCCAGCAGCCCTGGCAGGGTGCACAGCAGGGCACAGAGCTGCTCTGGAGCCTGGCTGGGAACTTGCAGTGGTGACAGTGTGGTCCAGAGCTGGGGCAGAGCCATGATCTACAGCCTGCATCCCCCCTGCCTGGGGTAGGCAGGCTTCAGGTTGTGGCTCTGTCCCAGCTGCGAACCACACTGTCACTGTCACAAGGTCCCAGCCGGGCTCCAGAGCAGCTCTGTGCCCTGCCGCACGCCTTGCTAGTAGGGACGGCACTTGGAGGGGGCTTGAGGGGGCTATAGCAACCTCAAAATTCCCTGTAGCCCCCCGTAGCCACCCCTCCCAGTGGTGGTGCTGCCACTGCTGCCTGCCTTACACAAGCCGCAGCAGGTGAACCCACCCCGCTCCTGCCCATAGCACAGCCCTCCCTCAGCCCCACCCCCGGATCAGAAAGAGGCTAGCACTGCTGCTGCCTGCCAGTGCTGCTGGGGCCAGTTTCCATGGAAACCCTGGCCCCACACTATCACAGTGTGACTGCTGCTGGGGTTTCCATGGAAACCTGCCCCAGCCATGCAGGCTGGGACTGCTGGGAAATGGAGTCCACCAACAGCCAGATCCAGCCCATGGGCTGGACTTTTCCCACCCTTGCCATAGACATGAGTTCTTTCCACCACTTCACTGCCCGTCTCAAGAGTTGTCCATTGTTAGCCCCTGTAGGAGCCAATGCAGCTGTAGAAGAGTGAGATGGGATCTGTTCTGCCTTATGCCTCACCAACCACAATTTGCCCAAAGACATCTACAAAGGTGGTGACCAGCAGGGGGACCCATTTTTTCCTGTGGAGGCTTGATCCAGGATCCGTTAAGGTGAATGGGAAAGTTTTTTCTTGACATCTCTCTACTTCCATTTAAAAAATGTACAGAGATCCTTGTGTCAACATTTGCAGAGGGCTGTCTTTGACCATTGGCCAGTCCCAATCAGCTATGGTCAGATGGTTGAGTCGAGATTACTGATGGCACCTCCGATGGGAACAGATGACTTTTCAGAAACCAAGCAGGGTCTGTGAGGCTGGCACTTATTAAAACGGTCCTTCTGGACCTTACCCAAAGCCCACTGAAGCTAATTGAAAGACTCCTGTTGACTTCAAAAGGCTTTGGATCAAGCCATTTATTTGAAAATAGAGGCTTACCTGTAGGTCTGTTGGAATTACTCTTCTGCTTCCAGAGAGACATTAAATATCACAATTGTCACTTTTCCAGTTAAAATTGCCCTTTAAATTATGAGTTCCCTTGCTCTCAGCTTCTCAAGTGCATCAGGAAAGCATGGTATTTCAGTGTCCCCATGGTCTTTTGGACAAATCAAGACTGGTCATGGGAAAGTGAAGTGACCTCCTCCTTTCCAGCTCTATGTTCAGTTCAATCCCTGGGGAAGCTACAGGAACTTTCTGAGAGCCAAGACCTCAGCTGAGGCTGGTGCAGACACATCCTTATCCCTACTATCGTTTATGTGTTGTGTCATTTTGTGCTGTTTCCATAAATTATGCAAGAAACAAAATGTAAACAAATGAAGGTAACTTTGATGCTGTAGTTTTTGGCTAGTCGCCATGGTAAGGATCTGACACTGAATGTAATGGGGTGCTGAATGAATTTTAAAATGTAGTAGAAGCTGCCATCAGAAATGACATACCGGGATTAAATTTTAAAATCTCTGCAAAATGGCTGCTGTCTGTTTGTGTGGGATATCCCCATTGTTCTGCAGTTATCTGAAGGGAGTGAATACCAGCAAGGGGGTGGGGAGGGAGCCCGGGTGAGAATTAGGCAGGGTGTAGTAGGATTTAATTGAGGAGTCTGTTAAATAGGGGAACAGCCACCCAGAGGGAAGCAGCACTCTCTACTCCTTCCACCCCTTCCACCCCTACCTTGTTCCTCCCTCTGCTGAAACCCCACTCCTGGAATCCATCCATGCCCTGTGACCTGGCTAGCTGGCATGTGCTTTGCATGCTGTTTGCCCAGGGTTGTACCCCCAGGGGTGGGAAGTTCACACCCCCCAGGGGCAGGAGGGGGAGTTGGCTTGGTGCTAGAACCACTAGCTGAGCAGGATAGTTCAGGGGGTGGAAAGTTTGTCCACATGGAACACGGTGGTTGGGGAGGGGGCACTGCATCCTGGGATGCTGGAGGACTGTAACTTGGCCAAGTCATTTGTGGGAGGTGGCTACACATTAATGGAACATGAGGTGGATAACACAGATAAGAGTTAAACTTGCCCTGGAGTTTTACAATTTTAAACCACCTAAAATGCGCTTGGAACTAGTTTCAGGTGTTAATGTATGGACAATCCAGGGTTTAAGAGCTCCAGGAGCTGGCTAAAATTAATGTGTAACAAGGCCCTAAATAGCACTTCATAGTCAAAGAGGTAAGGTCAAACCCTGGAGATTAACCCCCAGGGAATGACCCTGCACCAGTGGGGGGAACAAAGGAAGATGAAGCAAACTACATCAATGGGGAGTTTCTATGTCTACCCTCTGTGATGCTGCAGGACCATCCTACTGACCACCTAAATGTGCAGTAACTGATGTGCAGTGACTGGGGTAGTCATTCATTTCAACACTTGGCTCAATTCACTATTTTCCTGAAGGAGAGTGGTGGCCACAATGATATCAGGCCTATCTGGCACAGAAATCACTACCCTCCCTGTTTGAGAACAACTGTCTTTTGGAGCAAGCAGGTGTTGAACTATCTTTTAACAATAGTAAACTTGGTTTCCAAGTAGCCGTGGATGCAAGGGTTTGTCTCGACTTGTGTTTGTGCAGCACCTAAAGCAGAGCAGTCCTCATCCTGATCAGGTTCTTTTGGATTCACATGCAATATTTTTATAATGAGGATGATGACATTGATGATGCCATGGGGATGGAGGCATCACACAGTGGCAAAAATAATGTCTCCACATTAAGAAAAATTGCTCATTACTGCTGCATTTCCATCTCTGCTACATGGCCAATAATTCCCTAACACTTGGATTCTATCTCAGACATGATATTACCCATGTACCTTCATTCCAGTCCCTATGAGGTACATGAGGGCTTGCTTGGTGCTGGGATTGAAATGAAAACGCATTATCAGGGCCTTGTATACACTGGGGTCATAACCAATTGAGGTCCTGGACACAGGGCATGTCAACATCAATATAATTTACCTTGATTTTATATCCCAGTATAAATTACACCTGTAAATGGCAGCTGGCCAGTTATCCAGGGGAGCTGCAGCGGTAGGCATTATAATAGTGCCTTGCCACTACAATGCAGGAGAAGATAATAGACTGTTTGTAGGCTATCGCCACAGGATAGCTGCAGACACACAACACCTGCACTGCTCTTGTTACTACTCCTATTTTCTAGCAGATTCTAATAAGTTACACTGGTTACATTGAATGTACGTGCGCGTTTCTTTTTGCATGGTGGTGTAAAGGCAGTTTTTGCTGCTGTAAATATGCTTCATGTCCAGGTCCTTAGCTTTTCCGAGGATGCCCCATGAATCTGTTTGGACTTCATGAGTCAAAAACAGTATACTTTCCTGTCTACCTTTCGAGCTTTACTAGCTATCCCATCGGGAGGTACGTACAGCAGACTGGTAGACCACACAAAGCAGGATCAGGCAATGAGTATTGTGCTGGAGGGGCTTCAGCAGGGCTTTCAAGAATGAAATGTGGCCAAGACATGCACCAGGAAGAGGTTCTGCCATGGTTCCACTTCTCTGCGGTTTAGGAGCTCTCTTGGGGAGGACAATGGGAATCCTTGTGTGTGAAGGGAAAGGTGACTCCTAGAATAGCAGTTCACATGAAA